ATATATAATCCTAATATATGTTATAATCGTATTAACAATATAGTTTTTCAACGAAAATCTTTTTCATTTGTATGTAGAAGTCTCTCTGCTGGAGTCGACCTGTAACTCCTCGCTATCAAGGCGAGTGCAACGCTAGGTCACATGTACAGAGAGCCATACGATTTTGACTCAGATCTAGCCCCTGATAAATTCTCTTAATGTCTATTGGAGCAGTTATTATTTTTTAATATATATATATATATATATATATATATATATATATATATATTAACGGTATACAGAATACTGTAGCAATATTTATGACTTTATGACTGAGGCCTTTGTGAAGTGTGTATAATGGTAGAATATTGATTGCAAACTGAATCAACTGGTAATACTGAAAGAAATACGGTCATACATTTTTAACACACATGGAACTACAATAATTATTAAAATGCAATTTATCATGTTATCATCATATTGACTACATAGAGTTATACTGTAGTACCCAGCCCCCTCCCCCCACCTCCGCACAAAATATGGTCTCTATACATGGTCGTAAAATGTTTCTTTATAACAAATTTATTCCTACATAAATAGTTAATTAATTAAGGTTCACAGGAAAGATCATGAAACTATGGTATGATAAACTTCCACGCGTTACAGAAATTATGAGAGAAAAAAGACTTGAGTTCATTAGGCGTTACTGGAGAAAAAAATCATGAAATTATGACAATTACTAATCTCAGGGAACCCACTCATTAAAAGAGTTTTAGAAGACGCCCATGTTATAGTACATATGCTTTGGTGAGTTAAAATAGAAAACACGAGTAGGCAAACAAAAACTCACCTGATGCACCGAATGATCGAGTGAAACTTATCAATGCTGGCCCGACCATCGACATTTGATATACAATATATATTATATCTTTCTTATTATAATTCTTTTATAATTTCTTATTGTGAACTTGTGATTGTTTAAATGGATATTGCCCCATGACGATGGCTTTCGTAGAAGTAAAAGAAATTTAATTTAAATTGAATTATACAATAGGCCTAGGCCTATTATTTATATAATATGTTATGTACATATTTACCCGTTTGTGTAACTAAATCAGAAACAGATATATAAATATAATATATATATACATCAATAAATTATATATATATACATTACTGTATGTTATATAGGGTCATGTACACAATTAAATTAGTCTGATGACTATCTGTATATAATACCGATTTAAATACGGTCTAAAATGTATTTCATGTATTATGATAAGTAGGACTTTTGTATTTGGAAGATAAATAAGAAAATCAGGTTCGTGTTTGAAAATTAAAGATGATGAGAAGCACGGTGCCTAGGAATGCAGTCTTTGTTACACTTGCATTACAACACGTGAACAATATAATCCATATCGCCATTTAATCTTTCCATTTAATGGCATTTAAGAGGACCATTGGCTATAAACTTTTATAAATCTTACGAGATACTAGCCAACGTTATTATTATAGCAGTATAAAATAAACACAATCATATTTTTTCCCTGATAATTATCCAGTTTAGTAGAAAATGTATTAATGTAATTCCAGACAAGTGTGAAAGTCTGTGTATCGTTCCATATAATAAAATACCAACCGAATAATCTATAAAAAAAAAACCAAAAAAATATCACTGATGAAAATAAAACATCAACCGAAGGGATATAATAAAAACATCTTTATCAGATAATGAAAGAAACATAATCAACATTCACCGGGACCTACCGCATCCACGATGAGTCATAACTAGCACTACAGCTTTGAGATTCAAGTGTATATATAGTATAGTATAGTGTAGTATATAGTCGTATATATATATATATATATATACATATATATATATATATATGTATATATATATATA